AGTTTTTGTTGCTTCATCTTCAGGACATTTCCTTCTAGTGACAGAGGTAGTTAATTTGATTTTTTTTTCCTGTATGACTACACACTCCATAATGCTAAAGGTTGTTTCCACAATACTGAAAGCTTACTTTTTTTTTCCTCCATGTATAACTCATTATTTCCCAAACTGTATGAGTTAGACTGCTCTCTTGTCTTCTCCAGGTGTCTCTCGGGCTAGGAAGAAGTACGGTAGAACTTTTTGAAAATGGAGACCTTCCACATGTTTTTCTTCAGATATAAAAGCCAGCAGTCAATGACATAAGGACTTGAAGTTTCCTTCCTCTTTTTTCATGTCTTAAGAAGAGGAAATAAAGGTAAGATAATAGTACATTTTCTCACTAGATTTCCTAATACAAACATATATGTTGAGAAAAGAGCTTAAATAATTGTTCAAATGAACTGCTGACACAATTGCTTTGTATGAAATATTCAAAAATAATGGATGTGCTATCTCAGCAACATCTGTAACTCCACATGTATGGGGACTTTACTTTCAACGAAACAACTRGTAGTTATAAACAAAACTTTTCCACAGAGCTTCAAGCTTTTCGTGGGAAGGGCTGAAAGTAGAGGGATTCAAATGGTCCTCTTGATTTGACCCTAGCATTTCTGAGCAGATGCTACACATTTCTTTACCTATTTTCCAGAGACAATGGGCTATAAAGCTACCATGGACCATAAGAGAATCATAATAGTATTAGCTGAATTAAGTACTTACTCTTTCCCCATGTATCTCTATCTCTGCGTGAGCTCGACCCTAAGGATGAGATTTCTCTTCCGGGCTGCAGACTTGCCTTCTCCAGCTTCTTTCTCTCCTGCTGTCAGAGCTTTGGTAAATGAAAGTTTTAGTTCATTATTCCTCCCCCAAATCACTGAAAAGGTACCCTTGATTGTCTGAAGGGGAAGGCTTCATTCTCCCCGAAAAGAAACTGGACTCTCAAAACACATCTGGAAAACGCTCTGGGGAGATAGCCTGCAGGTTTCCAAAGTCATTCTTTTGGTTCTCGTCTCCATTTGTGAGGAACAGCATGTGATGGTAACAAAATCAGGAGCGTTGAGACCTTCTACATCTGGATCTGAATCCCTCTTAACACTTAACAGGTATGTGATTATCATTGGTAATGGAGACCACTATTCCTAGCAATGCAAACCTAGGTGGTCCATTGGTAAAATGAGAAAGTCACTACCCATCTTTCCCCAGGTGACCAGAGTGCAAATGAATGATATGATCAGTGTCACTTTGTCATTTTACTCCCATCAACAGAGCGTGCAGCCTTGCTTGGTTTAAGTTGTCCAGTTCTTGACAAATGGAATACCCAATGCTTGCATGATACTCTGATTTCCAGAAACATTTTGATGATGGTAGAAATGAATGACAACACTTTGACATTAGATGGTCTTATGAAAGAGTAGACATTGAAAAACACATCATGCAGGTTGTTATTCCATTTAAATAAAAATTTCAGAATGGACCTGTTTTGTGCTATGCTGTGCTGTGCTGTGACCACCAGAAATGGCAACAATTACTATGATTCAGGGGCTGGCCCATCTCCTCAGGCTCTGTTCTTGTTCCTAGGGGTTTCCCAAAGATGACTTGTGGGTCAAGAGTCTAGACACTTGTTTATAAAGTAGATCCATTGTTCTCCCTGAGAATCTAATTTAATCAGCCCTTGGGGGAGCCCATGAAGACACATTTGTAACAAGTTTTCCAGGTTGCTCTTCCAATAAAAATAAATTGAGAAACACAATCCCAGAGGCAAAGCTGCAGCCTGGAACTGACCCAGGGAACCCGAGACTGGAGGCCAGCAGGTGCACGCATCATGTAGGGAGTGTCTGTCATCTCAAGTAGGATGGAAATTCCCAAGGGCTGGATGTTCAGGCCACTAGTTTCCTGCAGCCTTGGACATTGAGACACGGAATTGTAGAATGGTAGAGATGATTTTAGCAATCATTTAATCCCATGTTTCACATGTCAGAGAAATTAAGGAAAAAAAGGATTTATCAGTTAACTCCCAGAAATTATAATTCTCTAGCTAGCTCTAAGGTTGAGGAAGTACTGATACAGAGTAAATGATTTATTTTGCAGATAAAAAAATGAAAATCCAGAAATTCTAAGTGACTTATGCTCATATAGAGGGTGAGTTGTCACAATAGATTGATATGCGTCTGTTTTGACTCCTCCTGGAGCATTTTTCATTTGTCTGATCAATGGAATTGGCTTCTACTTTGCAGTAAGCATGGATGTGATTTCTGAAACAGCACCCTTGCTCTTAAAGCGTTCCCAGTCTAGTGGGAAGACAAGGCTAGGGGAGCCACAATTAGGCTGCAGTGTAATGAATTCTGAACAAACGGTGGCTGAGCCCCTCTTATTAGCACAGCACTGTTCCTGGACAGGGAGTGCAAGACCCACAGGGAAAGAGGTACTCGGTTCCTGTTGTCACACAGCTTTTAAGAATGAGTATTTTTAGACAAGAATGCGTCCTAAGACAAAAGTAATGTAAAAGAATAATCAGAGAGATGGCTGTGTGCTGGGTCATGGTAAGGAAGGGATGGAGTGGGAGTTTCTTCATCCATGTAGGTTAGGGAAGGTGTCTTTGAGGAAAATATCCCAGAGAGGGCATGTGAGAGACATATCCTACTGGGAATGTGGGTGGTGCATGGAATCACTTCTCAGTCTCATGGGCAGTGGGGGCCAGTAAGGGTTTTTAATCATGAAATGAGAAGCTCAGTCTTGCTCTTCAGGAAGGTGCATTTGGAGATTGAGATGGAGAAGATCGTTCTTCCTGAGGCTCCGTGGGCAAAGGAAAGGAGGGTCAGGGAGCTCACTCCATCTTCAAGGTGGTGTCTCATCCTGCCTAATTTATGGATTGCAGTTCTGATCAGAAAAGCCACCAGTAGTCACAAGTGAGGATAAAGACCAGAGTGGACCTAGTCCCCATGACTAACAATCATCCCTCTGGGTCCTACCCTCGCTCTTGGTACACAGCCAGATATAAATGTCCAATCCTTCTGGCCCCCACCTGAGGCCCCTGCTCAGTCCTTCTCCTCCCTGACTCTGCAGTTTCTGACACTCACTTCTAGTGGCTTTTGTCTGTCTCACTGACAGGGATGTTTTTCATTCTCTGATTTTCTTCTTTGGGGTTTGTCAGTTTTCCTTTCCATTGGCCCCAGCCTGCTCTGAATGGCTGGTATTCCTCCAGGAGCTCAATCTGCCTCCCTGCCAGGGCTACCGATCCCCGCGGCCTTCCCTCTCCCTCAGATTGATGGGTTGATTGATGATTGATTTTGATTATGTCATCTGCTGGGGAGAAAATTTTTTAAAGGGAACTTTTAGAGTGACCATAGGATATGTGATGGACTTTTCTTCTCTTTCTTTTCCTCTCTCTTCTCTCTTCTTCTTCTCTCTTTCTCTTTCTCCCTCTCTTTCCGTTTTAGCAATGGACTTTATTTCTTTATTGCATGTTGTTGAAATTGTTGATTTGGGTGTTTGTGTAAACAGAGACTCTCTCCTTGACCAAACTTTGGTCAGGATCTTCTGAGCTCTCTTCTCCAAGCCTCCACCTCTGCACCTGTCCTATCTTTGGCCTGATCAGCCAGTCTGAGCAAAGTACACTGCTATGTAATTCCCCGCCCCCCAACCTATGCACTGGTGTGAGAGCATTAACCTTGATATTTGATTAAGTTCCTCATCTCCACCCTGGATATCTTTGACCTGCCTTGAGCAACATCCTGCTATATGGGTTTAGTAGGGATCCCTGTTCTTTCCATTTCTCTTGATAACTTCCCACCCACTGACCTGCACCCTCCTCCTTGGCTATAACTCCCCACTTATCCTTGCACTGGGAGTGGGCCTTGATCTCTCTCCCCTATTGCAATAGTCTTGAATAAAGTCTTTACCATTTTAACAAGCATCAGAATAGTTGTTTCTTTTACTCTGTCCTCCACACTGTGATGGACCCTTGAAGACAGCGACTGTACCGTTTATCCCTTGCTCTCACCTCCCTTAAAGAGGCTGAGACACTACAGGAGAGTTTTAGCGCGGGGGCGGGGGGGATTTTTAGCCAAAATTTTGGGAAACTCATCTTATTCCCATAATCCCAAAGACAAGACACAGGCTATTTTTATGTTAATGGTCAACATTCAGAGCTCTAGAAGACATAGACAGGCTATTCTATAACCAATACTTTTATTTTCTGTTCAAAACAAAATAAATCATCAAACATTACCTATTCCATATCCTTACTCCTCATCACTGATAAGGTGTTTGAAAGTTCCCATGGCCACCCTGTCAGCACAGGGGACAAACACAGCATGGTAGCTSCCAGCTCTGAGTCTCTCTTGGGAAGAACTTCTCACCTTTACATCCAAGAAGACTAGGTTGATGCTATGACCCATAACAATTTCCCTTTTCCTTTTTCTATGACAGTTATTGTAAACTAGTATTTTTTTTATTTATTTTACACTTAATAGCTGTATCTCTAGTTTCCTTCACTTGGAAGAATCAGCCATTTTCATATAATGTGGGCAATCTTTTCTGGAAAATATGAACTTAACTTTTTTTCCAAATGATTCATAAAAAATGTGCACACTAGATGAGAACATCAAAAGAAAGAAAAAAAAGAAAGAAAAAAATTCCACGTGGGGAAAATGGCATTAGAAGAACCTATGGTTGGCAGGTCCGGGGGGTAACCTGGTGGTGCCCTTTCCTCCTCCTCTGGATACATACGAAGAGGCTGCTTCTCACCACTAAAGGTCCCCACACAGCCAAGGGCATGCGGAGGCTCACTGGGTGGGACCTGCCCTTCAAAGCTTCCTGTGTGACTCGCATTTTGGTCACTGGTTCCGATTTCTCCGTTTCCCATTTCAGAAGTGAAGAGGATACTCGGAAACCAGCCGCTCCACGTCCTCTTTGCTGCCAGCGGGGTGGGTCTCCTGGTGTGATGACGGGGGCACCGGAGAGTCATGCTCTGTTGGGCCTGGACATTTCTTTGGCTTGTCGCAGGAGAGAGGATCCCGGAATTTAATGCTTCAGGTAGGGGTTTTCACTTTTCATGCCAGCACTGGGTCTTGTGGTCAAAGCCTGCAGTTGACAGATGATGTCAGCAGTGTGATCGATTTACACACAGCGTTTCCTTCCTACTCTTCAGACGGCAGTGGGAGAGTTATTAGGGTGAACAGCTTTCAGTGGACTCCAAGCGCGGATGGGGAGCCCAGTTTCCATAGCTGGGTGTTGGGTGGGAGTCGCTGAAAGGGATGATCCATGGCCCAGCTGTCAGTCACAGGATGTCCGAGTTCTACTGGCGACACTGACGCCCAATGGAAGGGAATTAGAACATGAACATCTTTTTTTTCCCCTACAGAATGGGCACAGTGAAGAAGATAGATGCACAGAGGGATGTATTCTTGTGTTACTTCAGGTTTTTTTTTTTTTTTAAATGTAAGTTAGCTTTTTATCTTCTAACGTGTTTCTGTGTTGCTTTGTTTATTGTGATTGTCAGATTGTTCCACCAAAAGACTCCTTTGGACATATTCCACAGCGAGTGAAGAGGAATTTGTCTTATTTTGTGATTTACCAGAACTGCAGAAATCCCACTTGTACCCGACAAGTGAACCCTCACCGACAAGAGACCCTGCGTACTTTCCCTGCAGTGGTAGTAGAGACCTCTCTGATGTCCTCTGGTACCTACAACCTCAGAATGGAGACCCACTGGAGGAAATCACTAACAGATATCCGCATATCATTCAGGACAAGACTATGCTTCGCTTTTTGATCCCAGAGATGAATGATTCTGGTTCATATATTTGTGGACCCAGGATCAGGTATGTCCCAGATGTTTTCCTATCTGCAAGTATCATCCGATCCTTACTACCTAAATAAAACATCTGTGTTCACAGGACCTTGTTCATCTCCTAGGGGCCCCCAGGATGTGGCATGTTGCATCAAGACAGTCTTGGAAATTAAGCCCCAGACAAATTCACCCTGTGAGAACCGTAAGCCACATAAGCAATATCTACTTCTTGGTAGGATGGACTCCATTTATTGTCCCAGTCTCAGCTGCCAAAGTGAAACACAGAGTCCAGAGGTGACTTGGTACCAGGTGAGAATGAATTCCTTGAAACTGATGTAAGAGCATGGTTTTTCTGGTAACAACTCTTGAAGTACTTTATAGAAATGTGGGTTTCAGAACCTGAGGTCTACAATGACCCAAATGCTGACCCTGTACCTGGGCAAGAGACCTGACAATTCTAAAAGGGTCTTGGTCCTGTGTAGAAGAGAGCACAACACTGGGATTCTCAGACTCATCCTTTTGATCAGCACCAGAAAAACTTCTAACATGCAAGTATTTCACACATTTGGGTAAGACGTAAACCTAAGGGTGTCTAAGTAGAAGACAGGTGAGTTCATTCTGCTTTTTTTGGAAAGCAACGGATATTGCCAATGGTAGGGGCACCCTCCAAGGGCTTGAAGGTTTGCAAAAGAAACAAGAAAATTGAATACTTTTCCTAAGAGGGTGCCTCCAGGAGGACAGTTTGGACAAATCCATGAGAGCCGGCTGGGAGGGCTAAGAGAAAAAAAGGATCAAGGTCAAGTTTCGTGATGATATTGAGTTATGAATTWTGTGAGTGAACTTCCATCACCAAAACACTTGACATTTACTTTATGGTTTATAGTTTCTCCAAGTGCTAACAGATAGGTAAATGCTGCTTAGGCATCTCAGGCAACAGAATCCAATCACACTTCACCCCTTCGRGGGGGTGGGATCTGGGAATAGATCCAAGTTGACTCCTGCAACAACAAGACTTTAGAAATCACACAAAAACATTCATTTGGCTTTGCAATATACATGTTTGTAACATAAAGTATGTTTTTAAATATGTTTTCTGGGTGAAGTCAAAGAAGGCAAGCTAGCTACCTTCTGTGATCTACCTGGTGATTTTATCCACCACAAAACTCATGGGAGACTCCTGGGGGTACAGCTACAATGGTGACAGAAGACCTTCCCTCACGTGGTTCCTGGGACTCTGTGATGACGTGAGGACAGGTGTCACTAAATTCATGACAGAAATAAGGCAGACGATGTGTCTTGTGGTATTTTACAATGAGACCAAGAGTACTGACTGGAGTGAAATTTTAAAGAACGTGATAACTTCAAACATGAGGTGGGTAAGAAGAGCTGGTGGTTCTCTTCATTATTTTCATTTCTCTCTCAAGAACAAAACTCCCCTGGGCTCCAAATATTCATGACCTGCCTTGATGGATGACTGGCTGACAAGGTGGGCTGGGCTCAAGCCAGTGAAATAGTCGCGATGCCGTAGTCTGATGGGAACGTGTTCGCATGTCCACAATCGTACTCCTGGAGTGAACACCCTTTGCTCTTGCAGTTGAGCACAAGCCACGCTGTAGTTTCTAGTTCTCTGCACACATTGCATAAGCTAGACCCTAAAACCAGATGACATTTGCAAAAGAAAGCTTTGTTTCACTTCTCTGGCACATTTTTTTTTTTTTTTTTTTTTTTTTTTTAGCAGGGGATGATACTGGGAATCGGGCCCTGGGGTGCTGAACCACTGAGCCACATCCCCAGCTCTTTTATTTTTTATTTTGAGAACAGGGTCTTGCTGAGTTGCTTAGGACCTCGCTGAGTTGCTGAGGCTGGCCTTGAACTTGTGATCCTCCTACCTCAGCCTCCCGAGCTACTGGGATTACAGGCATRCACCACCACCATGCCCGGCTCTCTGGGGTTTTGACAGCAATTTTCACCATGTATTTCATGGTGAAAGGCAAACGATGACCGTTGTTAGAATTGTGACAGATTTGAACAGGTCTTGGTTCGGTTTATGTTTCATGAGTTGCACATGGGTGTGTAAGCTCAAACACACGCACATGCCTATGGTGGTCTGGGAGTCGTGGACTTTGAGGCTGTGGCACACCAGGAGGAGTGAGGACATTGAGCAGCAATAGCACCTGGTGGCCCTTTCCTTCATGCTGAACCTCAAGTCTCAGATGTCACAGGTCACACCTCAGAACCCTTTCTCTGAACAAATGAAGCAGACACTGGCTGAGTGGATAGAAAGATGACATTGTGGAAGTCCCTGAAATTGCACTGGGGTGCCCAGCAGATGTGCAGAGTATACCACGGAAACAACTCTGTGGATTTGGGGACGTCTCTCTGGAGGGCTCTAGAACACCTTCATAAACAACAAAAATTCAGGCTAGCGTGTGTGTTTTTCAAATAATCATTTTCAACCATTTTATCGTTTTTAATGAATAATTCCTATATTTCTGGGGCAGAAGGGGATGGTTTGATCTATGTATATTATGCAGAATTATTAAATGAAGCTGATGGGTATATCCACGCCCTTGCTTACTTACCCCTTTTCATGGTAAAACATTTGAAATGTGGCTCTTAGTTGTTTGGAAATGCACGATATAGTCACCCCGCTGTGCAAGAGATCTCAAGATGTATTCCTCCTGTCCATCTTGACCAACATTTCCCCACTCCCTCACCACCACAGGCCTCTTGTAAAACCACTCGACTCTCTACTTCCATAATTTCAGCTTTTTTTTAGACTCCACATATACATGAGATCATGCACTATTTGTCTTTCTGTGCCTGGCTTATGTCACTGACCATGGTGTCTTCTGGTTCATCCATCTCACAAATTACAGGGTTTCTTTTTGAGAAGGCTGGATAGTATTTCTTGGTGTTTGTCTACCATATTTCTTCATGCCGTCGTCTGTAACTGGGTTGATTCCACATCTTGGTAATTGTGGATAGAGCTGCAATTAGCACGGAAGCATGATGTCCCTTCCACAAACTGATTTCKATTCCTTTGGATGCACGTACAGGAGTGAGATGGCTGCATCAGAGGGTGGTTCCATTGTCTTTTTTTTTTTTTTTTTTAAGGAATCTCTATAGCATTTTCCATAATAGTTGTGTTGATTTCCATTCYCACCAACCATGCTAAAGTGGTTCTTTTCTCTGCATTCTTGCCCAAACTTGTCATTTCTGTGTGTTTTATAAAAGTCATCCTAATAGGTGTGAGGTCATATTTCAAGGTGGTTTTTGTTTTATTTTGTTTTGGCGAAGCTGGGGATTGAACCCAKGGCCTTGTGCATGTGAGGCAAGCACTCTACCAAMTGAGCTATATCCCCAGCCCTCAAGGTGGTTTTAATTTTCATTTGTTTGATGATTAGTGAGGCTGAGCATTTTTAACACATTTTTGGTTATTCATATGTCTTCTTTTTAAAAAAATATTTACTTATTTATGTATCTTTAGTTTTAGGTGGATACATTAGTTTTTTTTTTTTTTTTTTTTTTATGTGGTGCCGAGGATTGAACCCAGTGCCTCATGCATGCTAGGCGAGTGCTCTACCACTGAGCCACCACTCCAGCCCCACATAAATCTTCTTAACAGAAATGTATGTTCAGGAGCTGGGCACCTTGGCATATGCCTGTAATCCCAGTGACTCTGGAGGCTGAAGCAGGAGGACCATGAGTTCAAACCCAGCCTCAGCAAAAGCAAGACGCTAAGCAACTCAGTGAGACCCTGTCTATAAGTAAAATAGAAAAAAAAGGTTGGGGATGTTGCTCAGTGGTTCAGTGTCTCTGGGTTCAATTCCTGGTACTATCACTAGTACTACTACTACTACTACYAATACTAATGTCTGTTCACTCCTTTGCCCATTTTTCAGTCCAGTTAGTTATGTTCTTGCAGTCGGGTTGTTAGAGCCCCTATTGTATATTGGATGTTACGCCCTTATCAGATGTACAGTTTRCAAACATTTTCTCCCTTTCTATGAGTTGTTTCCTGTTTTCTTGGCTGTGCTGAAGCTTTTTAGCTGGATACAGTCCCATAGTCTAGTTTTGTCATCTCCTAAAACACTGTTATTCAGCAAATGTCCTGGAGCTTTCTCTGTTTTTTGTTTTTTGTTTTTTCCTAGAAGTTCCATAACAACAGGTCTTATATCCGTTTTGAGCTTATTTTTATTTATGAAGTTAGATAAAGATCCAATTTTATTCTTTTACGTGTGGGTAATCAGTTTTCCCAGCACCATTTATTGAAGAGACTATCCTTTCTATATTGTGTGCTCTTGGCATCTTTACTGAAAATCATTTCACCATAAACGTATGGATTTATTTCTTGGCTTCCTATCCTGTTCCATTGGTCCATTTATCTGTTGTTTAGGCCAGTGCCATATTGTTTTGATGATTATCCCTCTATGATATGTTTGAAATCCAAGAATGCGTCTCTAGCTTTGTTCTTTTGGGTCAAGATTGTTTTGGCCATTTGGGGTCTATGGTGATTCTATATGAGTTTAAGGGTTGGTTTTCTTTTTTTTTTTTTTTGTCTTTTTTTTGTCTTTTTTTTTGTTTTTTTTTATTTTTTCTCTTTTTTTTTATTTTTTTTATTTTTTTTGGGTTGGTTTTCTATGTTTATGGAAAAGTGGCATTTGGATTTTGATGCACATGCATTTGGAAATCTACCCATGTTGCCTATAGGAGACTTAACTTCTAGGAAGGAGAACCATAGACCAAAAGTGAAGGAATGGAAAAATAAATTCCATCCAAATAGAAACCCAAAGAAAGAAAGCAGGGGTTACTATGCTGATATCAGACAAAGCAGGCTTTAAGTTTATTGGATCATATTTTTCCTCATTCATTAATCCCCTCTGTTTTTTGGGAGAATTTAGTCCATTTGTATTTAAGGCAATCATTGATAGGTAAGGACATACTACTGCCATTTTGTAATTCATTTTTCAGGTTTTGTGGGCCTATTGTTTCTCTCTTCCTTATTTATGTTTTGTCTGTTCCCTGTGGTGTGGTGCTGAGAATTCTTATTTTTTACAGTGTGTTCTTGTTTTTGTTTTTATGGATATCACAAACTCACCCTAAATTTTTTTTAACTTTTTAACAAATTATTTGAAGCTAATAACAACCTTAATCACAAACAAAAGCTATAGTCTCGCTCCTTAACATCTTCCTTTCCTGATTTTGATATCAAAATTCATATATTCTTTTGAATTTGTATCCCTTAATGAATCATTGTAGCTAAAGTTGTTTTAGCAGTTTTGTCTTTTAACCTTGACAGTAGAAAT